CGTTTCGCCCCGCGTGGTCGCTGCTCCCCCCGCATTGTCCCTTGTCCCCACCACGTTGTCCCCCCCCGCATTGTCCCTTGTCCCCGTGTCCCCCCCGTGTTGTCCCTTGTCCCCTGTCCCCGCAGCCTTCACGTTCTTCGATCCCAACGATCCGGCGTGCCGGGAGATCCTGTTCGATCCGCGCACGTCCGTCCCGGAGCTCTTCGCCATCGTGCGCCAGTGGGTGCCCCAGGTGCAGCACCAGATCGATGTCATCGGCAACGAGGTGGGTGTCCCCACGGTGTCCCCACGGTGTCCCCAAGGTGTCCCCAGGGTGGCAGGGTGTCCCCAGGGTGTCCCCAGGGTGCTGGAGGGGATCGAGTGACCCCAAAGTGTCCCCAAGGGTGTCCCCAGGGTGGCAGGGTGTCCCCAGGGTGTCCCCAGGGTGCTGGAGGGGATCGAGTGACCCCAAAGTGTCCCCAAGGGTGTCCCCAGGGTGGCCGGGTGTCCCCAGGGTGTCCCCAGGGTGCTGGAGGGGATCGAGTGACCCCACAGTGTCCCCAAGGTGTCCCCAAGGGGGTTCCCATGGTGTCCCCATGATGTCCCCAAGGGGGTCCCCAGGGTGCTGGAGGGGATCGGGTGTCCCCATGGTGTCCCCAAGGGGGTCCCTAGGGTGCTGGAGGGGATCAGGTGTCCCCAGGGTGTCCCCAAGGGTGTCCCCAGGGTGCTGGAAGGGATCAGGTATCCCCAGGGTGTCCCCAGGTTGCTGGAGGGAATTGGGCGTCCCCGCGGTGTCCCCAAGGGTGTCGCCAGGGGGTCCCCAGGGGGTCCCCAAGGGGGTCCGTAGGGTGCTGGAGGGGATCAGGGGTCCCCAAGGTGTCCCCAAGGGTGTCCCCTGGGTGTCCCCTGGGTGCTGGAGGGGATTGGGTGTCCCCAGAATGTCCCCAAGGGTGTCCTGAGGCTGACAGGGTGTCCCCAAAGGTGTCCTAAGTGTGTCAGGGTGTCCCCAAGGTGTCTCCACGGTGTCCCCAAGGGTGTCCCCAGGGGGGTCAGGGTGTCCCCAGGGTGTCCCCATGTCCCCACACGTGCCGCGTCCCCGGCAGATCCTGCGGCGCGGGGGCCACGTGGACGACCGCGACGGCCTCACGGACATGACGCTGCTGCACTACGCGTGCAAGGCGGGCGCGCACGGCGTCGGTGGGCGGGGCTTCAGCGGGGGGCGGGGCTTAAACGGAGGCGGGG